GAGGTAGACAGAGGTTAAGTGACTTTCCCAGGGTCACATGACCAAGTCCCTGACTCCAGGCCCAGTGCTTTACCCACTGTGCCACCTAAATGCCTAGGAAAGAGCAGAGGAAGATAAATTGACAATGCTAAATAATCTGATATTGTTCAGCTGGTTGTTAGGATGCCTGATCTAATATGACGGATATTAGCTTTCTCTAATTTGCCTCATTGTAGATGACAAATCTTGAGCAGCTGTTTAGAGAGCATCCTAGTATAAGATATGTATAGATATAGCTTTAAGGAAGAAAGTATGGCTACCAGAAACCATTGAAAGAGTCTGAAAGGTGAAGGGTTCTGTGTCCAAGTCAAAAAGGACTTGAAGCTGCCCAAGATGATTAATTATCCCTTGGTCTATAAAAGAAAAACCTAGATGTTTTCTTACTATTGGTAATTGGAGAAGTAGGGATAGCTAGGAAACAAGCCTTCGGATTTTGTGATAGCATATATCAAGTGGTGAGAACAACAGATCAGTGGTGTGTTCATGACTATGAGAGTGATGTTAGAAGCACAAATTTAAGATGAGAAAGAAAATGATAAGCAAGTGTGTGGCTCTAGTATGGAACCAGAGGACATCTATTCTGTCATTGACTTGGGGGACTGGACTCTGGGTGGAAGTTGGTTGCAATGGCAGGGAGAGCTAGGATGGTTTGGACAGAGGTGGCAAGAGAGATGGCCCCTTTGGGAGAGACTATGTAGGGCTCTAGAGAATTTAGCTCAGTAGTGCAGGTAACTTAAACCCTGCCTTGGTGGAAAACCTCAGCAACATCACTTTGTTAAACTGGGTCATCCCTTATGATTGTCCATTAACCAAAAGGGACTAAATCCAAGATTGTCAGGAGAGTGCTCAAAATGAAATCTAAGACTAGGGGGTATTTATCATCCTGCCAGGCCCAAAGAGGATGAGAGAGGGGAGATCTGGAAAGTTATACCTCCAGTTATGACCGGTATCCCTGATAAAACCTGGCCTGAGAGCTTTGGTCTAAGGCAAAGCTGAGGTTTGTTTATGCCCCTTCCCACTCCCCTCACTGTGCTATTCATCTTCATGGAGAAAGGGTCCCCTTTAGGAAGAAAGGTAAAAGGCTTGAGAATGAGCCTTCAGAGGTAAAGACCAAAGCAGTAAAAAAATAAATAGTGAAAATAGAAAGAATAAGAGCAGAATAAGGAGGAGGGGGAATTTGGAAGTGAAAAAGAGCAGCTGCAGCCAGAATTGGAGGTAAAGAAAAGGGACCACCAACAGTGCCTTGATCAACATCAGTGGCGGGGGGGGGGGGGGGGGGGGGGGGGGGTTGGAAAGAGGCAGCTAAGGACATGTGAGAACCTGAGCCTCAGAGGCAATAGGATGAGGAAGAGAGACAGATGGAAAAGGAGTTGATGGAGCAGCGAGATGAGGTACTTTATGAATACATCAAATGTGTGAAAACTTTTATCCAGAATGAGCCAAAGTTTGAATATGATAAAGTTGGCTGTGGGTGTATGGGGGTGTGTGCCAGTACCCACCCCCTGTGCACACACCTGGGGTGGGGTGGATAACGAGCAGAGAGGAGAAAAGAAGGCGTACTGACCGAATCGGAAGGGGAAGCAGCTGTGCACCCAAGTAAAAGGGAGCTCACAGTTGCCCATAATTTATAATTATCCCCCAGGCTATAAAAGAGAGGTCAGGCTAGTTTTCCAGTGGCCTCCTAATTGGTCTCACAGCCTCAAGTCTTTTCCTGCTCTGCTGCCAAAGTGATTTTCCTGAAGCCCACATCTGACCATGACGCTCCTGGACCGAATAAAACCCTAGCGCTTCCTATTGCTTCTAGAATCACAGATAAACTCTTCTGTTTGGGTTTTAAAGTCCTTCGTGGTCTGGCCCCAATCTACCTTTCCAGGCTCATGGCACATTGTTCCCCTTCACATACTGTATGATCAGCCAAATTGGTCTTCTCTCTTTCTCACATAAGTCCACGTCTTTGCCCAGTCTGTCCCCACGTGTGGAATGCACTGCCTCCTCACCTCCCACCTCATACGATCCCTCTGTTCCTTTAGGTATGGTTCAAATGTCTATCTTCTTCACGAAACCCTTCCTGACACCTTCAACTAGCTAGTGTCCTCTCTCCTAAACTACCTCGGATTTATTTGTATTAATTCTTTTAAAATTTAATCTGTAAATAATTATATATGTCTTTGATGTCCACCCCTTCCCCTGCCCCCAAGATGTCATCCTTGAGGGTTAGGATTGCTTTGTTTATTGCATTTATATCCCCAGGACCTAGCATTGTACCTGGCCCTAGATCTCATTCATCCTTTGTTTTGAAAAAGGACCAACGATATCATTGGGTGATGTCCTGACTCAAGCATGAATTGGATTGAAGTGAAGCAGAGTTGCCTCTCTCTTCCACAGTTATCAAAGTCCAGTGGCAGGATGAAAGTCAAGATGACTGGAGATGGCCCAGGATGTAGTGGATGACCTTGGTGTCTTACTGATCTCTAAGTGTTCCATAACGCTGGCTTCGGCCACCTTTGTGGCCATTGGAACAAACTGTTCTCATCTACCATTCAGCTAGGGGAAATCTTTATGTGCGTGGGGTGTTCATCCTCCTAACTCTTTGACGAATTTGAGACCTGTCAGTTGCCCTCAATCTGTTTTAGCCCTTCTGCTGAGATGGTTTTACCAGGGTGGGGCAGCTGTGCATGCTACAGCTTCTTGGAGCCACAGGTGAGAGCTGAGTGAAGGGTGGACACCAAACGTGGCTGAGCAGCCCTGAAAAGGGTTCAGCAGGCCTTCTTATCGGAGGTGCTAGTCCTCTGTGAACACAACTTGATAGGCAATTAATAAATACCTATTGATTGACTGATTAAAACAGGGATAATGAATAGCTAAGAATTTATGGCAGTACATGCAAAGGGGGAAAATGGAATGGGAAAAGCAAAGAACTAGAAATCCCTGCTGGCTGCAGTTCTGTCAGACAACTGAGGAGCAGAATAAGAGAAAAAAAATAGTAATAGTAAAAGCTGAGAGCAAGGTCTAACCTTATGGAATATATTACAGGGCAGCTCACTTGAAGGTGATCTGTATGGTCAAGAAGTCAGCAATGCTTTAAATATTCCAATTCAGATGAAACTTCAGGTTATTTATAAGACACAATGAAACTGAAGCAGTTCTTATCCCCCTGATGTTTATGATGAAATTCTGATTGGAATGGTGTCAAGGCCTTTGGTTTTATCAAACTATGTTTTGATCACTTCTCACTACCATTTAAAAAACAGCCTGGCTAAATCTGGCTTTTTGCATTAAGCGGCAAGCTGGCCTAAGCTCATGTGCTTTAGACCTTTTCCTGTTGTTGGAGGAGAATTATTGTTTAAAAGGCCTGGTACTCTCAAGTTAAACATGGTCCTGGGTGGAGGGGAAACTGGGAGGTGGAAGGGAAGCCTTCAGGCTGACTATTTTTCTATTTCTCTCATATTATGCCTTACCATACTCTTAACCACTCCGGCCAAACATCTTTTCTCTGGACCCTGAACACACTGTGCACCTCCCACTTACTTGGCTTTGTTCACAGCAGTACCTATGTCCTTAACATCCTCCCTCTCTCCCTTTTTTGCCTCCCTTGGCAATCACCTTTCATCCTGAGGACCTTACATGATACTTTATTTTGCATCTTTTTAATATACCTATGTAATTTTGTATTATAGTTATCTACTTATATGATGTATTTCCACGCTAGAATCTAAGTCCTTTTGTTGTTTAGTCGTTTCAGTTATGTCTGACCCTTCATGACTTCATTTAGGGTTTTCTTGGCAAAGATACTGGAGTGGTTTGGCATTTCATTCTTCAGCTCATTTTACAGCTGAGGAAACTGAGGCAAATAGGGTTAAATGACTTGCCCAGGGTCACACAGCCAATAAGTTTTTGAGATCATATTTGAACTTAGGAAGATAAGTCTTCCTCACTCCAGGCCCATCTCTCTATGCACTGCTACCTAGTCGCCCTACGAAAACAAAAACCTTGAGTTACCTAAAATTTATGTCTCCCTCAGTACCTAGGGTAGGATTTTGCACACAATAGACATTTAATAAAAGTTTTCAAATTGAATTGAATGTGTAGGGACCATAGCTCTCCAGATGTACCCGTGTACCTTGGTTCAGTGAAAAGACTATCAGGCTTAGATTTAAGAGGCCTGCATTCTAAACCCAGCTATATGATGGTGGTCAGTCATTTAAACTCTTGGTTTCATCATCTACCAAATGAAGCTATTGGATTTCATAATCTTTAGGGGCTCCCAGAGCTCTAGAATCTGATTTTAAGGTTTTATATATTAGATTCTACTTTAAATGAACTTAATACTAACTATGCAATTGGAGAAAACAGACTGTACTAAGGATTATAGCATGGCATGTAGAGGGCAATGCTATATTGAAGTGAACTGCAACAGAGCTGATTGTTAAATTTTCAGTGTGAGCATTTATACCTCAGAAATTGGTAAACAGTAGAAGTCAAGTCTAGATTTAGTGTTTTGTTGATTCTCTAGACTTAAGAATACAATAGCTGTTCCATGAGCAAGACACTTCATCTCTTGGATTTGAACATTCTTTCCACTTCTCCTCCATGCCTAGAACATCCTCCCTCCTCTACTCCATCTACTGACCTCCCTGATTTCCTTTAAATTCCAACTAAAATTTTATCTTTTACTGGAAGGCTTCTTCAACCCTCTTAATTCTAGTGCCTTCCCTCTGTGAATTATTTCCTATTTATCCTGTATATAGCTTGCTTTGTCTTTATTTGTTTGCATGCTATCTTTCCCATTAGTCTATAAGCTTCTTGAGGGCAGGGACTGTCTTTTGCCTCTTTTTGTATCTTCAGTGCTTAGAACAATGCCTGGTATATAGTAGATTCTTAATGAATGTTTATTGATTAATTGATGTTAATAATGCAGATTAAACTTAAAAGTATGTCATATATGTTTTTTCTCTCCCAAGAATTGGTTATTCAGCATTTATCAGCACACCCGTGGTTGTGGGTGCAGAGGAGACTATCCAGCCCTTTTACCTTTTTGGTAAGGCTCCTTACTGAGAAAGAGATTTACTGGGAAATCTTCATGGCTATGGGGAAACCATTAGCACAGTACAGAGAAGTTATTTAGAGTGCATAGCCCTAGAAAATGGCCAAAGAAAGGAGATCCTTAGAGCCTTCTGACTAAGTTGTAGAATAACTCTAAGACAGCATATGTAAAAATACTTTGTGGGGTACTCTTTTACCAACCAACAAACATTTATTAAATGCTTACTGGGTATCAAGGTGCTATGTACTGGAGGGTACAAAAAAAAAAAAAGAAAGAAAACAATCCCTTCTCTCAAAGAGTTTATACCAGCTTAATTTGGTTAGATAATTCACATTTTACTTCAAGGTGATTCATTTCGTTCAGGGCATTGGCATTTTCCATGGCACTCTTCTAATTGTTTTTATATATCAGTATTTCAATCAGTACTTACATATCAGTACTTTCTTATATGTCAGTACGTGTATTGTTGTTGATGTGGTCACTATAGCCTTCAACAGTGCAGATTGTAATCTACAATCTACCATAACCTGGCAGCCTGTAACTAGATCTAGATCCTTTGGTTCATAATTTGTGTGTGTATGTGTGTGTGTGTGTGTGTGTGTGTGTGTGTGTGTGTGTGTATCATGGACCCCATTAGCAGTATGATGAAGCCTATGGATCACTTCTCAGAACAATCTTCCACCATCCTCTTCTATAAGATTTTACAAATGAATTTATGTTCTAAATTAGTTTTTCATTTGGCCTCCATCTCTTTCTTCTTGGCAAAGAGACCATGTGTTCTCTGGCTGAGGCAGTTTTTAGGCTCTTTTAGCTTCTATGTCACAGAACTTTTCAAAAAATCCATTTAATCTTCTTTAGAATATGGCAGTAGTCTATAACATTATCTATTATCCTATCCATTTCCAATTTTTCTATATCAATAACTTTTTAATAGGTTAGATTGCCATTTTCTCATTGTCTTCTCTATTTTCTCATTTTTTGTTCTGATTTAATAATGATGTTTTTATCTCTGTTCAAGTCAATAGACTGACTATATACAAAGAGCTGATTTGGTAATGACTCCCTCTTTTGTAATCAATAATTTTCTGTTTGTTAAAATAGAATCAGTTTCATTTTTTTGTCCTGTTATTTTGTGCTTGTAATATATAACACTTCTTGACTCTTTTCTCAAATAATAATAATAATAATAATAATAACTGACATTTACATTAGTTTGCAAAGTGCTTTATATACATGATTTCATTTGAGCCTCAAAACAAATCCATGAGCTTGGTGCTATGGATCCTATTCTCTTAATTTTATAGGTGAGGAATTAGAGTTCATTGAGGTCAAGTGACTTGAAGATGGTCACAGAACTAGAAAGTAGTAGAGGCAAGAGGTGTTCCTGATGACGACTCCAGCTAACAAATGCTATGCCATACTTTTCAAATAAATATCAATCTAGAAAATGATCCTTGGTCATTCTACATATAGGAAAATATGTTAGCTGATATGGCCCATTTTTCTGTACTATACACACACACACACACACACACATATATATATACTTATATACTTCAAATACATGTATATAATATGTGTGTGTATATATATATGTGTATGTATATATATATATGTATGTGTATGTATATATATATATATATGTATATTTAGGCAATGGGGGTTAAGTGACTTGCCCAGGGTCACACAGCTAGGAAGTGTCAAGTGTTTGGTCTGAGGCCAGAGTTGAACTCAGGTCCTCCTGACTTCAGGGCTGGTGCTCTATCCACTGTACCACCTAACTGCCCCTACAATGTATTTTCCTTGAAGGTGATAGTAGGGAAGAAGTAGCGGGAAATAAGTTGATGCCACTCAATAATCTTCTATTGTTCTACTGATTATTGTGAGTACCTTTCTCCATTTTTTTTTATCATGAGAAAGCTTGGGAAGCTATGTAGAGAGTATCCTGGCAAGAGAGATGTGTAATTATTGGTAGGCAAAAGAAAATGTAGCCCCCTAGAATCTATGGATAGAATCTGCTTCTTCTTGGCTTAAAAAAGTCTTTGGTGTCCTTTATTTCTTACTTTTTAACCATATTATCTAGCCTATTTTTCACTCTTATCCAAAGCGCTCACCTTTATATTGAAGACCCTGAGTTCTGGGAATGGGGTGGGGGAGAGAGGAGGGAATAAATATTTATATAATGCTGACCATGCACTAGATACCATGCTAAGTGCTTTATAGATATTGTCTCTTTTTGTAATTAAAGCGTTGATTGATTTAATTTAGAGATTCTTACCAAGTCCTTCATGCTCTTTCTGACATCATACTCTGTAATAGCTATTGATGTAGAAGCTGCAATCATCTTTATGGTGGTCTTTTTTGAATGCTTCTCCTATGCACTGCTGTAAGATATGAGGAAGGGTCCCATGAAATGTTTCTGGTTGCCTTTGGCCTCACAATGAAATTGACCCCGACTCCTTTATTTCCCTCTACAAGGAGAACTTGTGAGCGATCCTTCCATCTAGCTACAACTTCTTTTTGTCTTCTGGTTGTGTTTACAGTGAGAATGTTAAGATGTGGATTTTTCAGTGTCCCCAGTAGTATGTCACTGCCTAAGGACCTCACACTTAGAATACAGAAAGCTAAGAAGTCTCTGATTCTCCTATTCTGTCTGTAGAAATGAAGACCATTTTGTGTTTTCCTTTGTTTCATGGGCTGCCAATGGCCAAAAAGTTCATTACTGAGTGGCTAGCCTATTAGTGATGAGCCTTTCCTACTTAACTAAGGCTGGTCCGGGAAAAGTTAACACAGTCTCTCGCTAGGATTGTTGTTGTTCAGTTGTTTCAATCATGTCTGACTCTTTGTGATCCCATTTTGGGGTTTTCTTGGCAAAGATACTGGCATGATTTGCCATTTCCTTCTCCAGATGAGGAGACTGAGGCAAAAATGTTAAGTGACTTGCTCAGGGTCACATGGCTAGTAAGTGTCTGAGGCTGGATTTGAATTTAGGAAGATGAAGGAATTGTACTCAGAGTCTTTTTTTTAGAATGCACCAGTTGGTATTCTACTGGAATAGCCTTCAATAAACCAGAGCAGCCTTTATTCCACATTGGTCCTGGCTTCATTCTGTAAAATTCAGTTGTCTTATCCTAGTGATATGTGATATTGAATTAACATTTTGAATGCTTTATTACCTTTCAAAGTTAACCCATATCAGGAAAAATGGGCAGATAAGTAGGTCACACACACAATTAAAAAGGGGAAAAAAAGAATGCCATTTTGATTTTAAAATATAAGGCAAGATGCCAAGTGGTCATTTTGGTCTTTAAAAAGCAAAATTTGTCCTGTTTAGAATGAAAATACAGGTGTTTCCTGTTAAGAAGATCCATTAAACCCAAAGGAAAAAAATTACAAAGCAGATTAGGGATGGGAAAATTAGTTTAATTATGGAGTGATTCTTTTCTACAAAAGGGCTCACTATAGAGTTTTTAAAGCAACCTTCTTTGCAGCTTTAAAATATGATTTATTATGCAAAACTTCAATTTGCAAGTTTTCAGGTATATATATGATATGCACATATAAAAATTGTGTGGGTATATGTAAATATATATGCATATATATGTGTGTATATGTGTGTCTGTGGGTGCAACAAAGGAGATCTAGACCTGGAAAAGACCTCCAGTGCCCTCATTTTACACACCTATAGTTTTAGTTTCATCTATGCTAGGTGGTGCAGTGGACAGTGTGACCTACCTGGAGTTAGGAGGACTCATCTTCCTGAATTCAAATCCAGCCTCAGACACTCACTAGCTGTGTGACCCTGGGCAAGTCACTTTAACTCTGTTTGCCTCAGTGTCCTCATCTGTCAAATGAGCTGGAGAAGGAAACGGCAAACCAGTCCAGTATCTTTGCCAAGAAAACCCCAATGGGGTCATAGACAGTCAGGCACAACTGAAAGGACTCAATAACTATACTAACAACAACAACAGCTAACAAATTAAAAATAAGAAAGTCCCTTACTCTATGGGTGGAAGCTTTCAGCTTGGAATTTCTCTCCATCCCAGCCCCAGGCAACTTTTGCCTCTTCCTTCCTGTTTCAAACAATTTCTGTTCTGTGCTAAGGGGAGAGGAAGGGCCAATCTCCTGTGGGAGGTTCAAAGTCCCACAGGGAGCAAAGCAATATACTTTAAGAGGAATCAGTTAAATTTAAACTGTTCAAGATAGACCAGGCATTCTTAACCTGGGGTCCATGGGTCTATGAATAGATTTCAGGAAGACTGTGAGCTTGGATGGGGAAAAAAAATTACAGCCTTATTTTCACTAACCTCTAACTGAAATTTAGCATTTCCTTCAATTATGAATATAGGCCAACAAAACGTGCTTCTGAGAAGGGGTCCATAGGCTTTATCAGACAGGCAAAAGTGTCCACAGCACACGCAAAAAAGGCAAAGAACCCTTTCAAAAAATGTTCAAATACATTAAAATTTTTGTCTTCTGGTAAGCCCATTTAAAATTACAATGTCATTTTCTGAAAGGTAAGCTAAAATTAGGCTTTTTAGGGTAACTCTCCCTGAAACTCTAGTTCCAGATAACTATCTGTGATAGATATTTTTGAATCACAGATTTCTGAGCTTTAAAAATGGCAGAAAACATTTACCAACCAAGCTGCTTATGTTGCATCCCCAGTACAGAAAAGGAAATAAAACACAAACAAACAAACTTCAGTGATGGTTTTAAAAAAAGGAAAAAAAGAGCTTCAGAATGGTGATTTTTTTTTTAGGCCCAAGAAAAAGCAATGTGTATCCTCATAAAGAAGAACCCAGGTACGGATGGCTGTGTACAATAATGAAGAAGAGCAATTTGGTTTGGAGGCCAGTGGCCCGGGAAAATAATTAACCAACAAAGTAATCATCTTGAGGTCCCAAAGCTCATGATTAAAGTAAACCTGAAATGAATGAGTGTTTAACTGGGAAGTTCCACTTATTTTAGCCAGCACAGAATTCAGGTGGCTCCAAGGGAATTCCTTCTGCCTGCAGAGTGAAGGCTGTTGGGCTGGGGCCCACGTCCAGTCTTTTGTTTCTCCCATGACTTCCTCTCTGGGCTTGATGCTGGCTTCTAGCATCCAGTCCAGATGAAGCTGGACTTTGGGTTGCAAGAGCTGGCTGCGTCTGGCCTCTGGGCTGAGGCTAGGTCGTCCTGGCCCAGGCCGGGAATCCTGCCTGTTGCGACGGCGGGGCTCGGCCATGTTGAATGAAATAACCTTGGAGGGCTGAAATGCCTTCCCCTTGCTTTCTGTGGGGCTTGCTTTGCACTTTCATTGGTGGTTTATTACTGTAGCGTGGCATTCCCCCTCCCCCCACCCATCCTCTCTACCTCCAAAGAAGTGAATTAATAACTAGAAAATGAGACAGAAATGAGATCTAGAAGGGTCTGAGCTCCTGAATGTCACTGTGAGCAAACAACACTGGAGAGTAAAGGTTCCCTTCCATCTTTATGTTTACCGCTGTCTGTGCATTGACTTGTTTCCTGACACATGAGCCATGGCTTGAAAGGAATTCAGGCTCCAGCAAATTTTGCATTGCGCTTCAATGTGGCCTCTGGGATTGAATAAGGGCAAATCTATTATACTGTTGCCATGGAGACCCTGGCACAACTGCTGATAAAGAGTGTCTGATGTTTGGTAGGCCCCGGTAGCATGGTACATACCATTTAAAGAATGGAGTGTGTGTGTGTGTGTGTGGTGTGTGTGTGTGTGTGTGTGTGTGTGTGTGTGTGTGTGTGTGTGTGTGAATCTAAGAGGGAGAAAGTGTGTCTGTGTATGTGGGGGGGTGGACTTGGGGGGAGGGGGAGCAGTGAGAGAAGGGGGGAAGGGGGCTGGGGTAGAAGATGCTGGTCTGGAATATTCTGAAGGAATGTCCTGCATTCTTGCAGGGAATTTGTAAATACTTTTCTCCTACAAAATTAATTCAGTATTATAAAAATCTCCAAGTTAAACAGATGGGGGCAGCAGAAGATACATAGTCTTTTTTTTTTCCCTGGGTCCAACAAAATTAGTCTTTAATTTATCTGGAAGAGAATTAAGCTAATACAATAAGAGAGAAAACACCATCTTCTGCATCATTTGATAAATGCTGCCTCAATCCAGTTGTCTGTTTAAAGATCAATAATAAGCCTGTAAGGCTAGCCAGCATTTACTAGGAAGCCCTATTGAAGTGATGGATTTTAATCATTAAAATGATTTTATACAAGCAAAACAAAGAAGACTGGCTGTTCTTTCTTTTCCTTCCTTCCTTCCTTCCTTCCTTCCTTCCTTCCTTCCTTCCTTCCTTCCTTCCTCCCTCCCTTCCTTTCTTTCTCTTTCTTTCTTCTTTCTTTTTCTTCCTTCTTTTCTTCCTTCCTTCCTTTCTCTCCTTTTCCTTCCTTCCATCCTCATATATAATCTCATTTTTCACTAATATGAATTCTGCTGGCCCCAAGTCGGCTTTCCATCATAAAAGCAAATTTTTAATTCTCCAAATTCCATCTGGTGCCTCATTTTTTGCTTCAAATGATCAATATGGGCAATTTCCTTTTTTTCCTTTAAAAAAATACAAATGCCGCTTTTCCCAAAAAAGTCTGAAGCCTAGCTTGGACTGGTGGATAAACTAGTCATGAGCCAGGGTTTCCTGGCTGGCGTTTTGAGGCAAGGCATCTCAGTCAATCAACATACAGTAAGCAAGCTTCTGAGTAAAAAGGGCCTAACAATGGGAGGGAGGCTCTCCAATCTGCGACAGTTGATAGGATTATTATTATTATAGAGTGCAAAAAAGCTTTTGCTTTCTTTTCTGCTGCTCCGCAGACCTCATAAGGCCTCTCTGTGATTTCTGCATAGTTAATTTGTCAGTTTATAAATTACCACATTATGTTAACGCTGAATGCTTCAAAACACAAATATATGCACAGAGGGCTTGAATATTTGAAGTGTTTTAGTACTATGGGGAAATAATTTTGTTGTCAAGCTGTGGCAGATATAGAACTGCTAGGGGATACATGACCATTTCATCAGTACTGTGTCGATGATGGCCTGTGAACATCCAAGGGGGAAAATCATCTTTTATCACTATTGTGTACCATGCCGGTCCAGATGGAGGATAAAACATGCATGAGTTGCCCGCAGCTCTGAAAATAATTATACTCATTTGCCAGAAATGTAGAAAGTGCATCCAACCAAGTTACCACCCATCATAGTGACATTCCGTTTGCATACTGATGAAGTTCAAAGCCAGAGACAATGGTGTTGGTATCAATAGCGAGGGGGGCTGGGCATCCTGAGTGCTATAGGATTAATAACACCATCATTTTATATCATGCAGCATTTCACTTATGCTGAATATCAAAAGCCTCCTGAGCCTCTGAGGTTCCCCTCCCCATTTGCACGATTACAGTATGCTTTAAGACTCCAAATATTGGAATGGATTCTTTTTAGGTTTAAGATAGGAGGATTAAAAAAAAGACCTGCTTTCCACAATACACCAAGAGAGTAATTGTATGTAAATACATTTGGATGTCTTTATAGGTCTGTGGGTACATATATGCATTGGTGTGTAGATGTACACATGCTCACACTCATGGGTACAAGCAGTTTTGGAAGACTGCATTGGAATAGGAGGAGATGCTATGCTCATGGTAAGTTCTGGTGCCACTGCAGAGTAATTGATGAATGGGTTTTTAAAGTGTAGAATGAGAATGAATACAAGTAGGACCCCAGAGAATAATTCTTTATATTGCAATCAGCTCTGCTTATATGTACTTGCTTTAATCCCAGGAATTGGCAATAAAGAACACAGACTTGGTTATTTAATCCTTACTGAGTAAAAAAGAAAATCTTAGATTCTTTTTTTAAAATAACATTTCAAAATGTAAGAATTTTTTTGAAGTATTATGTAGCCTTAATTAACTAGAAAATAATCAATGGAATTATAACCTGAAAGATTAAGAGACTTCTTTAAATATTTGATTGCAGTAACTGTATGTGGGTATATGACCAAACATATGCTTAAATAAACAGACTTGCTGTTTGGCTTTTTCAGATTATTCGTGTACTCTAATAGGTATGATTTAATTTGAAAGTAAATCAAATGTGGCATGGTTCCTTTGATTTTTCACAAAACCGTATGTTCATAAGAGTTGGAAGGGACCTTGGAGGTTATCTAGACTAACAACCTTCCTGATGCATGAATCCCTACGATAGCATCTCTTGCAAGTGGTCATCTGGTCTCCTGGTCGCTGAGACCAAAGGAAAGATTTAAACCCTACCCCTTCAGCATTTCCCAAATCTGATGATTACAGCAGAACACCCCTTATGACTCTTGATGCTGGGGTGGGGGAAACAAAGGAGAAATGTATGTATTATATGATTTCCATTTTATAGCAGAGATGTATGCTATACATTACTGTATGCAGCTACAGTAGATGAGTTAATAGAACAGTGAAGGACAACTCCCCTTCTTCCCCAGCCCCAAACAAACTGGGCTTTATTCTTCCCAACCCTAATAAAATAACCAAGAAGAAAGTACAATTTTGATAGAGGTAGTTCAAGGACAGGAAAGAAAACAAGATACACCAGATTACATTGATATGACCAGAAGAATAGATTTTTCTAACTAGCAGGGGCAAATTAGGCCAAAAAAATCTTCACAGGGCATCCAGTCTCAGTCCCAGGACTATGGGAACTTCCCATTTTTTCTTGGGGCAGCCTGCATGTGGGTAGGCAACCCTGGGAGTGAGTGGCAGGCAGTGCATTCCAGGAAAATCCCTAGAATCTCAAATGGCCAGATGGTTCCTGGACTGTAATCCACAGTTCACAAAGAGACTGGTTTTTTTTTTTTAAATGCATCATCTTTTGCTTTTCCTATCTGGAAAAGTCTTAGTGGGGGATGTATAGAGACAAAAAGCCAAAGGAATGGAAGAGGAGCTCTAGGGAAAATAGCAAGACTGGGAACCAGATTCTTTAGGTAAAAAGAACAAGGACAAAGTCAGACATGTAATTCATTGACTCAAAGTTACGTGATGAGTTACATAGAATTACAGCTATTTTTAGAACCTCTCTCATCTGATACCTTCTGCTTGTTTACTGCTACCTCTACAATCCTGGGTTTGAGGTGCTTACATCCTAGCTGAGCTAGCAATAGCAATTTTGTCCAAGCCCTTCAGTGTTGTGGGGCCAGGTCCTGAGAAATCAATCATTCAAAAACATTTGCTGAAAGCCCGCCATGGACAGAGATGCCCTGAAAGAGAGGGAGGTAGGTTAGTGTGGCAGGAAAGGAAGGGTACATAGAAGAAAAAAAATGGAGACACAGGTCCTCAATGACATGGGGATCAAAGAGCCCCAACTATTTTCAATATGAACACAGAGGAGACTCAATAAAGAAGTGATTGGAATATGATAGACTCTTAAAATGTCACCGAGGACAATGATGTTTTAAAATGGTATTCACCCAATCCTACCTCCTCATGTAGCACAGAAATGGTGTCTATGAGCCAGCCACATTACACTGGCACAGATGCTATATGGTACTATAGAATTGGTCAGAAGAGTCAGGTTCAAATCTGGCCTTTGTACTTTACTGTGTGATTCAGTTAACCTCTAAGTCTGTTTTTTCATCTTTATGTAACGAGGGACTGGCCAATAAAGGCTCACTCCCAGGAGCATGTTCAGAGAGCCATGAACTCAACTTCCATTTAAGAAGGGGGTATGAGAAAGACATCTGTTCATTTCCCACCTGGCTACACTTCTTTTGAGCTTCTTTTGCTTCTCTGATTCATTTTGGGTTTCTCCATCATGTCTCTGCACAGG